TAAATTATATGTGAAGCCTTCAATCAATCAGAACACATCAACAGGGTTAAATTTCCTTCGAATTCCAGACACAATGCAACATCACTTGGATTCTGCCAGGAACGAATATAAACATAAATAAGGACGATCCGAAATTTCAGAAAACGCTGATGGACCAATATAAAAATAGAGTTTCTAGCTCAATTGTAGTCAAGTCAAAATTCTGAATCATAAGCCAGAATAATTCTGAGTTGCAAGCCAGTTTTATGTGATGTGTTTGTCATACAAGTCAAAATTCTGCAATACAAGTTAGAATTCACAGTTTCGCGACATCAGAATTTTTACATACAAGTCAGAATTTCGCGATACCAGCAAGAATTTTGAAATACAAGTCAAAATGTTGCGATACCAGTTAGAAATCAGAATTTCGCGACATCAGAATTCTTACATACAAGTCTGAATTTCGCGATACCAGCAAGAATTTTGAAATACAAGTCAGAATGTTGCCATACCAGTTAGAATTCAGAATTTCGCGACATCAGAATTTTTACATACAAGTCAGAATTTCGCGATACCATCAAGAATTTTGAAATACAAGTCAGAATGTTGCAATACCAGTTAGAATTCAGAATTTCGCGATATCGGAATTCTTACATACAAGTCAGAATTTCGCGATACCAGCAAGAATTTTGAAATAGAAGTCAGAATGTTGCGATACCAGTTAGAATTTAGAATTTCGCGACATCAGAATTCTTACATACAAGTCAGAATTTCGCGATACCAGCAAGAATTTTGAAATACAAGTCATAATGTTGCGATACCAGTTAGAAATCAGAATTTCACGACATCAGAATTCTTACATACAAGTCAGAATTTCGCGATATCAGCAAGAATTTGGAAATACAAGTCAAAATGTTGAGATACCAGTTAGAAATCAGAATTTCGCGCCATCAGAATTCTTACATACAAGTCTGAGTTTCGCGATACCAGCAAGAATTTTGAAATACAAGTCATAATGTTGCGATACCAGTTAGAAATCAGAATTTCACGACATCAGAATTCTTACACACAAGTCTGAATTTCGCGATACCAGCAAGAATTTTGAAATACAAGTCAGAATGTTGCCACACCAGTTAGAATTCAGAATTTCGCGACATCAGAATTCTTACGTACAAGTCAGAATTTCGCGATACCAGCAAGAATTTTGAAATACAAGTCAGAATGTTGCAATACCAGTTAGAATTCAGAATTTCGCGACATCAGAATTCTTACATACAAGTCAGAATTTCGCGATACCAGCAAGAATTTTGAAATACAAGTCAGAATGTTGCGATACCAGTTAGAATTCAGAATTTCGCGACATCAGAATTCTTACATACAAGTCAGAATTTCGCGATACCAGCAAGAATTTTGAAATACAAGTCAGAATGTTGCGATACCAGTTAGAAATCAGAATTTCACGACATCAGAATTCTTACATACAAGTCAGAATTTCGCGATATCAGCAAGAATTTGGAAATACAAGTCAAAATGTTGAGATACCAGTTAGAAATCAGAATTTCGCGCCATCAGAATTCTTACATACAAGTCTGAGTTTCGCGATACCAGCAAGAATTTTGAAATACAAGTCATAATGTTGCGATACCAGTTAGAAATCAGAATTTCACGACATCAGAATTCTTACATACAAGTCAGAATTTCGCGATATCAGCAAGAATTTGGAAATTCAAGTCAAAATGTTGAGATACCAGTTAGAAATCAGAATTTCGCGCCATCAGAATTCTTACATACAAGTCTGAGTTTCGCAATACCAGCAAGAATTTTGAAATACAAGTCAGAATGTTGCGATACCATTAGAATTCATAATTTCGCGACATCAAAATTCTTACATACAAGTCATAATTTCGCGATACCAGCAAGAATTTTGAAATACAAGTCAGAATGAGTAGAGTAGTTTATTTAACCATGTTACATTATACAGAATGTTGCGATACCAATTAGAATTCGGAATTTCGCGATATCAGAATTCTTACATACAAGTCAGAATCTCGCGATACCCGCAAGAATTTTGAAATACAAGTCAGAATGTTGCGATACCAGTTAGAATTCAGAATTTCGCGACATCAAAATTCTTACATACAAGTCTGAATTTCGCGATACCAGCAAGAATTTTGAAATACAAGTCAGAATGAGTAGAGTAGTTTATTTAACCATGTTACATTATACAGAATGTTGCGATACCAATTAGAATTCAGAATTTCGCGACATCAGAAGTCTTACATACAAGTCAGAATCTCGCGATTCACGCAAAAATTTTCAAATACAAGTCCAAATTTTGATTTCTATATCAAAATAATGATTGACAACAAGGAATTCTGACGTATCAACCGTATCATATCAGTTGTGTGACAAGAATCTGACTTCTATGACAGATTTCTGACTTTGTATATCAGAATTCTGACCTCTACCTCAGAATTCTGAGATTCAAGTAAGAATTCAAGACCGACTTTTTCCTTTTGGTCTTTCAGCGATTTCGTAAAATTTCAGCGTTTCCACGATAAAAAATGGGTCAACAAATCAACAGTCTTTCATTTATTAATTATGTACTTGGGTATTTTGTTAAGAGTAATCAACACTCAGTTTATTTTATAGTGTTCACAACCTCTTGCTTGTTGAGCACTAAGCGCTACCATTCCACGATATTATGCGACAAGTTTTCTGGAAATGTCGGAAAAACAATAGAAAATACTAATACTATGAAATGCTTACTATTAGATCACAGACGCTTTCAAGATATTATCCAGTCAGGACCGAAAAAGTACATCTCAAAACCAAAATAAGAAACTTCTAAATTAAAGTAACTGAGTTTTTTAATGAAAAAAAAAAAAAAAAAAAAAAATTGACGCCAAATGCAATGTCGGAATTATACTGGATTAAAAATTTGTACTTCAAGATTTTAATAGCGAAACCGATGACATGATTGCTGCGATACAGGAAGAGGTAGGTTAATTCAGAAATGAATGTTTTGTGAATTTGTTTTATTATTTGTCAAGCCTTTTGGAATTTTATTGATATTTGTTTAATCCCACCAGCAATCATTATGGGATTATATTTTTTTCTACAAGATGAGAATTAGAACGTTCCCAGGGGGGTTTTATATAATTTTCGAAAATTTGTGATGTCTACTTACAGTGTTCCACATTTATTGGCAATACTTTTTGAAATTGTACAATTTTGAACGTTTAACAGATCGATTTCTTTTAAATTTCGCATATTTTTTGAAGATCAATATGTGACTTTCGGGGTAATAGTTACGGAGATATTTATTGTTGAGGCCTGTTTGTTTGTGTTTGCTCTACTTGCTAAACTTGATTTTTTCTATTACATTCTCTGTTTACATTATGCCATGAACAGAGACAACTATATACACACACTGGCACAATTAGGGGAACGGGCAAAATTTACACTAAGTTTGACATCAATTTTCTTTCGAACCGATCGCTCGATTCAAATTTTTTCTTCACGAAATGTAGCTTCATTCTTCACGAATACATCTGAGAAATAATTACCTCCAAACGATGAGTCTTTCCATCATATACAGGGGTGTGAAGAAAGTACGGATTTTTCGGTATTTTTTTAGACATCCTGTGGACTGAACCACTGATAATTGAAACGATTTCTCAACACCAAATTGGAGCCCAATCTATTCCGAATATTTTCGTTTCTTATTCATCTTGATATCTCAATTATTCAAGAAAATACAGAGTTTCAAAGGAAAGGTGGATATTGGTATCAATTTTACACCTCAAAACTCAAATTGGATCTGAAAATGTGTCTTCTTGACTAACCTAACCTAACCGTGACTAAACCTCTGCCATAGGAGACAGAAGCAGTAAAATCGAATTGTTCATTTTGTTCACCTCGGCGATATAGTCTTTCCCTGCCATCTATTGAATTGGTGCAGATGCGGCTCTCATATGTTAAAAGAACATTGGCCCACTGGTCATTTTCAATTAATGCTACAGCCCTCACCACAGTAGGAGTCAAATCTCTCACGTTGAATTTTCATTAATCAAATTTATGAATTGTGAATCGCTTGACTTTGACAATAATTAATGACATTAACAAAATAGCCAAGGTTGATTAACAAAAATAGCATTTCACCAAAAGAAAATTGGAGCAACTTTTATCACCCCTGCATATTCATGAGAGTATTCGTATAATATGTGTCTTTAAACAGTAAACCGATAGGTAAAACTGTGAACAATTCTCATCTTGAAGTAAAAATCCTCACAGAAACAAGTTGAAAAACGACACGTTCTCCCCAGTTCGAGTTTCGAGGTGGTAAAATTAATACCAATATCGACCTCTACTTTGAAACTCTATATTTTCTTGGATAATCGGGATACCAAGATGAATAAAAAACGAAAATATTCGGGATAGATTGGGCAAAATTTGGTGTTGGAAAAGCGTTTCAATTATCAGTGGTTCACTCCACAGGATGTCTTGAAGAATACCGAAAAATCCGTACTTTCTTTACACCCCTGTATATGATATAAAGACGAATCGTTTGGGGGTGGTTATTTCTCAGATGTATTCGTGAAGAATGAAGCTACAATAAATTCGTGAAAAACAAATTTGAATCGAGTGATCGGTGCGAGAGAAAATTGATGTAAAACTTAGTGTAAATTTTACCCGTTCCCCTAATTGTGCTAGTGTGTGTAGGAACAAAATAAACTTTAGCAAGTTCAGCAACACACACAAACAGATCTTTGAAGTCAATAATATTAATCATGAAGTAACGTAATCAGAATGTTTCAATCACAGAAATGAAAATGATAATAGAACAGGTATCTCGAAATATTTCAAGGTCCAAATTTTCAATTAACGTTCATGAAAAACATTTAAAATCATGAATTTCTGAATTCAATATACACTCTCCTCAAATATTCCTTGATTTAAACAGTTTTCAAGGTGTGTACAAAGTTCAACCAACACTTCATCACAAAGCAGCAGTCACGTCAATCGTGGCCCGGACGATCCCCGCAAACTCCCCACGAGAGAAAAAAGAAAGAAGGAGAAAAGAACAAGAAGAAAAAGGACGCAAACCGATTCGACGAATGAGAAAACTGTCCGCCTAATACCGCGCAACCGCAACGCTCCCCTCGGATCACATGGCGTGCCTGCCGCCGCATAAGCCGCATTTGATGCCGCACCAATGGCACATCTGAAAAAAAAAACACCGAGGCTGTGAATGAATGGTACGAAGGGCCGTTTCAGCACATGACCCGAAAATCGTTGAAAATCACAATTGAAGACCACAGGGGAAAAGTGGGGAAGTTTCCTTCAGATAAATTTTCAAAAAATAAGTTCGGAACTCTCCAGTTTTATGTCCACGCTGTACAGAATGGCAACCTATAAAGTCCAAGTCGTTTTCATTTTCAAATTGAAGTAATTTCTAATTTCGGGGCGGCAAACTGTGACGTACACTCTGAATCTAGTCTGAAAATAGCTGATGGTGAAGAATATAGCTAGCGAAAAGCTGACGAATAGCTAACGAATGAAAAACGAATGAAAAAAATAGAAGAAGTAAAACTGGTAAACAAAAACATATATAACCACAAATGCACTCGGAGCAGGAATGCATAGGGTAGTTGGCTTCATTCTGACAGGATATGGTTTTGTTATTTATGCATTGAAATATCTCGAATAGAGCTCGATCCTAAACGAAAATATCATTGAATCAATAAATCACTATCGGCTACATTCAGAGATACTATTCATCCTAATTTACTGCCATCGGACAGAACAGAATGAAGTCGACACCCATGGCTTCTTCCTCTTGTTGTGCCTGTCAGTATTTTGAGTGGTGTGGACGCATATACCTACTAAACATATACGGACAACAAGGATCTCCAAGTGAAGCCAAAAAATAAAATAAATGACAGTCTGCGAGCGAAAATGTATTACAGCGCATGCGTCATCTAAAAATAAGAAAAGCCATCAGTTTGCAAAATTCCTTTCAGCAGGCGATGGCTTTGTAATGAACATAATTATGAGTATTATTAAAACTTTCGTGAAATGTGCGATGTGCGACATAACATAACCTGAAATTCAATGTTCATATTTTGTTATCTGAATCTGAAGCCTCAGACAAGAAATCATGACCAAGACTTCACTGGAATTCATATTTGCGAAATTTTGGTGGATTTGATTAAGCAAACAGCTTTAATTCGTGGTTTCGGAACGAGTTTGCTGAAGTTTTTTATTGTCTCAGAATACTTCCAATAATGGCCAACAAGTGCAAGACATTATAAACATACAAATGTACAGCTTCCCAACAGATGCAAAATTATACGAAGTGTGAAAGAAAATTACAAAAATTGGGAAGCCCATCTACAAATATATATGCCTGTCTGTAGCAGATACTTCTCAGAAACATATCATGAAGGTAATTTCTTTCATCTAGAGAAAATATCTTTTCAGTGTTCTATGTAATGTGCTTTTCTTTCAAGTTTCAAGGGAATTCAAATACAATTGCAGAAGTAGGTACATTTTCTGTGAGGCAGATTAAAACCTGTGATCAATATATACAAATGGGAAAGAGGAAATTTTCGCGAAGGAATATTATTTTCAGAGGCATCGGTAAGAAACTTCAACAACATAATAATATATAAATAAAATTTAGATGAAATTCGTCCTCCATTTTGACTCGTGATTTTGACAAATCCCGCGCATGCGCAAATAGGTATTTTCACCCGCAGACTGTCATTTGTTTCCTCAAAACTGGCTTCACTTTTGACCATGGAAACATAGGATGCTATAGGCGATTCATGCTAAGGAGTACGCCCTCTACCGTTGTCTAATATAACTAACGTATGGGCCATTGATTGCTTTGTTTACATCAGTTTGCATGTATTTTGTATGAAAAGTAGTTGTGTTTCAATCGTCTATAATTTTGTTCGAGAACTTCTATAAACGTTTAAAAACATGAGTCATTATTGTTGTGTACCTCATTGTTCATCTTGAGCAAAAAAATCCCGAGTATAGTTTTCATTCCTTTCAAAAATCAGGACAGTCTAAATTTGTATTTGGACTATTAATTTGGGAAACAAGGAAGTGATCGGTAGGAGAAAGGTGTGGATTGATAACTTGAAGATTGGAAAAAGTGTCTGAACATAATGAGATATTGTTTTTCACACTTCACTGAAAATTTACTTATACAGGATGTTTCATAATTGAATGCTGATCCTAAAGGGTGATAATCCTTGGATGATTTTAAGAAAAATTCTTCATGTGAACATAGGTCCGTAACAGCTTCGTTTCTGAGATACAGGATTTTGAAATTTAACAAAAAAATCAGTTATTCCCCAATATCTCTGAAACCGCTCTGGCTTTTTTCTTCATTACAAATACTTAAAAATAGTTACCATAAAATTATAAAAATATTGCTCAGATCTTTTGGTTACCACAATTGTGAAATTATGACTAAGAGTAAAAATCGAATAGGGACAAGCAAATGAATGCATTTTATTTTTTAACTCAAAAACCGTTCGCCGAACGAGAAAAAGACAAGAGACCATTTTTATGAGAAGATAGAGGATAAATCCAAAAATAATATTCATTTGGAAAAAAGACAGTGGCGAATTATTATTTTGATGAAAAATATGACAGGGTATGTTAACAGGGACGCCACTGATGGAAATTAAGAAATCCTTCATTATGGAAAAAATGTATTTCTATTCATACTCGGCATGTATCAAAATTGAAGAAAAAAGCCAGAGCGGTTCCAGAGATATCGGGGAATAACTGATTTTTTTGTTAAATTTCAACATCCTGTATCTCAGAAACGAAGCTGTTACGGACCTATGTTCACATGAAGAATTTTTCTTGACATCATCCAAGGATTATCGCCATTTAGGATCAGCATTCAATTATGAAACACCCTGTATAGGTATATTTTCAAATGTATGTCTATTATGAATATAATACCTACTTCTTGAGGTGATGGTAAAAAAACAAACAAATTTTGAACTGATTATATCTTTACTCATGAACAGTAGAATTTTTAAACAGTAAAGAATTTTATCAATCAGGGTTTTGATGATTATGTTGTAAAAAGTCAAGTAGAGACTGTATACCTACCTAAAATTCACCTTCGAAAGAACATTTTATTCCCAAAAAGTATGTTTTTTTTTTTTTAAATATCATGCTATCAGGGGAATAACCCAGCCATATATTCGAATTGGAAATCAACATCCCACACAGGTTTTCATGAGAATTCTTGTTCGATAATGATAAAAACTTACAGCTTTTATGTATGTTGGTATATATGAAGTTCAACTAGAGGTAGGGAGGTTGTCTAATGTTGAACAGAGATAATATATAGTCCTCAATCAAAACACAATAGACCGCTGGAAAATAAACAAATAACAAAGCTGAACGTTTGAAAACTCAAAACGAAATGAACATAAACACCATTACCAAACAATGTAAACAATCCGCCAATGGCCCATAGAGTAGTACCGACATTCGCCGTTCTGGCGCTACGATCTTAATCTCAGTCGCCTATACATAATTATATGTTAAGTAGGTATATGTGTAAACCTACCTTGAGGGGCGGATAGAGCCACAGACAGGGCACGAAGAGCGACAGCAGCGCCAGACAGCACCAGCGGCGCGCGCAGTTCTCGTCGCCGGCGCCTGCGCAGTCGCACGGATGCTGCGCCGTGTCGCCCTCCTGGTCGGAGGCGCAGTGGTAGTCGACGCACTGCGCGCACCCGAAGCACGTGACGCGGTTGATGCAGGCGCGTGCGCCGTCAGGAGCGTACTCGCACGCCCCTCGCGGGTTGTGCTCTTCCGTGTAGAGTTCCTGGCAGTGGCGGCAGCGGATCTGGACTTTGCCCTTTTTACCTGTGTGGCCGAAGAGATCACAGATTAACAAACCTTACAGGTAAGACAGTCAGACAAGGCGCACAAAATTAGAGAGAGATGACAAAAGCGCAAAGTTTAAAGGGACAGTCTCTCTAGTGCGCAAGCGCTCGGGATTTTCGGCATGTTTTCCACATTCCATCACGAGGCCGACGAGAAAGACTCTCGTCGGCCTCGATTCCAGCACTGTGACTGATAGAAGCGTTTGTTTATTGTGCATTTGAGTGAGCAGAAAGTGAAATATGCAGCAGTTCCTAGTGGAAGACACCATTTTGTATATATAAACTGCAAAAACACCTCAAATATTTCACTGTACGCAATGAATTCGTATAGAGGCTATATTCCGAATTCAACTGACAGTACTGAACCTGCTGATTTTCCATTCCGAAATCAAAAAATTCACTGAAAGTGACAGATGCTTGTCAGCAGACATACTATTCATCCCAAATATTTCGACTCAACATTCTGCTGGAATTGCTGAGTGTCAAAAGGTGGTGTGGCTTCAGTGAACTGTCATATTTTAGAGGGGGAAGGAATGTAACATTCATTTCCGTTGTTAATGAAATGATTCTCAATATCAGAAAATACCTGGAGTATGAAGTAGTAGAGCAGGTAAGGAAAGGAGCAGCATTGGCTACATAAACTTAATAAACCTGGAATGTCTCCTAAAATTCATCATTTATAAGGCATATTGCGATTTTCATGAATCTCAATTCTCAATCTGGTGATCATGAGAAATTCATGGCAACAAAATGTCCAAGTATGCTTCATCACTCGAGCTTGAATCGCCATCGTCAACAATCGTAGAAACTATAGAAGATAATACAAGAATCGATTTCTCTTCCATGTTAAATATTTTATTTCTGACTGATTTCATTCATTAGATACCTTCCCGATTGGAAGTTAGACATGTTTTTCCGTATAGTTTCAATGTCATCAGAACGTCAGATGATGATCTTGACTACCGCGAATAGGAGATTCCTTATTGCTACGTTACTGCGTGGTTGTTGCTATGCATTTCTTATTTAATTTTAGTTAGAGGGAATTATAGCATCTATAACATCCCAAGGGAGTTATGACCCTCATAATAGATATCGTAACTATGACGATATAAGCTTATAATGTCACTGTCAGAAATAAAATATTAAATTTCCAGAATTTATAACGAGTAGGAGGCTGAACATCTAGTTCAGATAAACGAGAAACTACTACTGATGAAAATCATGAAAACGTTTCCCGAATTACAGTAGTGAATTTTTGAATTTATATTTCGGAACACAGATTTTCAGCAGAGTCAGTGGATCAACTTAGGGTCCCTTGATGGAAATTGACGTTAAAGTCATCTCATTGAAAAAGAATGCAGCTATGATCTGTCCGTATCCTGTTAAGATGACTTTAACGTCAATTTCCATCAAGGGACCCTAACGTCAAGTACTGAGGAGTCCTCAAGGAATCCTCATTCAAGGAAGACTTGAGGAGTTCTTAAGGAAACGACCATAAATACGGGCCTCAGTTACCTTTGAGCGGTAGGGGCGGCTGCTGTTGCACGACGGCCATCTCCATGCCGACGCCGCCCTTCTTGATGCTGCCCGCGGAGTCGCGACGGGCGAGCGCGGGCGGCTGCTCGGCTCGCGGCCGCTGTCTGCCGCGCTCCTCGCTCGGGTACACGTACTCGTGCACCGCCGTCAGCTGCACGTACGGGTACGTCTCGCCGCCAGCCGGACCCACCGCCGGGTCTGGAAAGGGAGGAGAGAATCAGTGTTGCCAGAGGTGGTACATTTGTACCACATGTGGTACAATTGCTACTGAAAAGTACGGTGGTACTACAATTGTGAAATTGGACCCATATGTGGTACATTTGATTGAAATCAATTCCCAAATTGAGGAGAAAATTTCATCGAAGGTTACATTGTTAGTAATAATATTTATAACCAATAGACACGTAACAGAGTTCACAGAATTATCGTATTGCCCTCAACTCAAAGTCAAAATACAACAAATGTCTCTCGCCAGGCATGCGAATAGTAGCAGGCTGCTGTGCTGCAGAAAATATCAAGGTTATCAGAAGGTTGATAGGTATCATCATGAGAATGAGAAAGAAAAATATCGTTCCTGTATGGAAAAGGGGACTACTTTCAACCTAACCCGGCCTAAATGAACCCTATTTTTCCTCAAAAGTAATATTTCTCAAAAATTACAAGCCAACACACGATATTTCTTCTTTCTTCATGGCTAAGACTTTCGAGTAGTGCGATAGCTCAGTAGTCTGTGTCTATGACTCTCGCGTTCTCTTTTCAAATGTTTTTCACAAGTAATAATTTTTCGAAAAATATACTTTTCAGGTACAAGGTTAATTTAGGTCGAGTTAGGTCCAAAGGGTATCCTTATTCATGCATAAACGATATTTTCTTCATTATAACTTACAACCTTCTGATAACCTTGAAATTTTCCTCAGAACAGTAGCATATGCTTCTAATGGGCTTGTATCACAAAAAAAATTTATTTCATAATTCGATAGAACTCACCCAAACTAGCTCACCACCGCAAACCGTTTCTTGCTGTGAGCTCCCTACGTTTTATAAAAAATTATTGAAATCTCCGATTTTTCGGACCTCTGAAAACGAGGCGATGATGTGACGTCAAAACCCTATAATACTGAAACAAGACTATTCCAGACCATATACCTACTAAATATATACGGATAACATCCTATGTTTCCATGGTCAAAAGTGAAGCCAGTTTTGAGAAACAAATGACAGTCTGCGGGTGCAAGTACCTATTTGCGCATGCGCGAAATTTGTCAAATTCACGAGTCAAAATGGAGGATGAATTTCATCTACATTTTATTTATATATGTTGAAGTTTTTTTCCGATGCCTCTGATAATAATATTCCTCCGCGAAAATGTTTCTGATAGCAGAAAAAGTACATCAAAGCATTGATATTGATGTCAAAGCTGTCAGTGGAATGGGGAAAACAATGAGAGCCACATTCCACATTTGATTCCAATCATTTTTATTTCGAAATTTCAGCGATTTGAGTGCTTTTGAAAATCGGCCGATGGTGGAAGACAAACAGGTATACAAAGCAAGAAATAATGTTAATTTGTTGAAGTGAAAAGTATACAGAAACTTGAGATCTTTGAGCTGATGGTTGTACAAACTTCTGCTGATTTGAAACTCTTGGTTTGTGGATGCTGAAGCCTCATGAAGTCAATTATGCTTCATTGATCCTTTTGCTTACTGAAATTTCAATCACATTTTTAGGTAGTCATAAAGAACTGCAGAACTGGAAAAATTCAGTTGTGAAGCTCACACCCAAGCAAGTGGTGAAGAAAGTCAGGTATAGATGTGATGTAACTAGCTTTTTTACAATGAAAGGAAGACAAAGATTGAAGAATCTGTTGCATTTCCTACAAAATTAATCATGCTGTTGGTGACAAAGAATAATTCTGAATTCTTGGTAAATTGTAAGTCTTATATATTATCTAACTTCCATAAATAGGTAACTGATATTTGTTTTCCAGATAACAAATCAACTGCCCTACATATATTTCTACAATGAAGCAGGAAGAACAACATTTGCAAAGATTTCATTACTGTCAGAATCACACTTGAGCAAGGTCTTGAGATGGAGAATAATGGAGATATTTCATAATCATTTTATTCTTATTCCTTGTATAGAATTAGAAGCTTTAAATTATTCACAGTGTTAATCATATTCTGGTTCATATGTTGAAATAAAGCAGAATTGAATAGGTACTCATTGAATTTTTTATTATTACAGAAAAAGTGAAAAAAAAAATTATTAGATGGGCTACTGAAATTGCACTTGTCTTTTCTATGGAAACATCATAGGCACTTTCACAAGATCAGTCCTGGTGGAAGTTGCATTAGATTTGGTTGATTTAGCTGAAGAAGGATTAGAGACATATTCTAGTTTTTGATGGATGTGACCTTCCTCTTTCCCATTCATATCCATTGATCACAGGTTTTACATTTTGATGCATTGTAATTGGTGAATTCTGTGAAGGTATTTAATTTGCATCACAGAAACTTGAAAGAAAAGCACATTACATAGAACACTGTAAAGATATTTTTCTCAAAATGGAAGAGATTACCTTCCTGATCTGTTTCTGAGAATATCTGCTACAGAGAGGCACATATATTTGTAAATGGGCTTCCCAATTTTCATAATGTTCTGCCACACTTCGTATAATTTTATATCTGTTGGGAAGCTGTACATTTGTATTTGTATGTTTATAATGTCTTGCACTTGTTGGCCATTATTGGAAGTATTGGAGACAATCCTGCTTATCTAAGGTATGAAGAAAATATTAATATTTTGAAAATGTACTTATCCTCCATTATTGCTGTGAATTACTAAAATTCAGTCCATTTCCTGCTTTGAAATGAAAATCGAAATTGTCGTGAGGTTTTCGATTTCAACTACAAAATAAATATTGAATTTCAGGTTATGTACTAAATTCTGTCGATTATCAATAATGATCATACGTTTACTGAAGAGGGCATCAAATTCGTATAGCAATCGTCAAACTCATGTCGTTTCTAATTTCGAATTGACGCATGCGCATAAGTCTATTTATCCCCGGGGACTATCTTTTGTTTTTATTTCTGGCATCAACTATGAGATCTTGTTATCCATATAGTTATTTATACGTATATGTTCCAGACAGAGATGAATGATACATGATTTCTGACAAATCAATTCTAACCTAGATTGACTTTTTGCAGCTCCATGTGAAACGGGTCAACAAAGCAATGTTGCTATGTTTATGAAATATATTGGATTATTGTAAAATTGTAATGGTGCAAATGGTTTTGAGATTGAGACATTTCGTTGTCTAGAGATTGTTTATACTCCAATGATTCAACCTACAATCGACAACTCGAATTATATTTTTCTGCAGTAGTGGTAGTGGATATCAAAAGATATTTCAATATCGATTTCGATTTCTCGGATATTTTGTTTGAATGATATGGCAACAGTAATAAGTGTCAGGAGAGTGTCAGTTTCAACCATATATCTACTATTTCTATATATGGCGCATCGCCTATACGATATCTCAACAAAAATGGGACCAAAATGAGAGGTACTCTTTGAATCTATGAGAACGAAAAGTGAAGGATGGAAACAGCCATATTGGTTTGACAAATTTCCTATTATTTTATCCCTACGTCGGTATCAACGCCTATTGGTCGATTTCATTACCTATAGAGACAGAAATGGGTCCCGCTTTGAGGAGAGCTATGATTCATATATCAGTAGTAGATATATATGGTTTATATATATATATATATGGCGAGATGGGGTTTCTACGTCATAAGAGGGTCTCCGTTTTCAGAAGGTACTATCATTTATGTCCAAAAATAAAACATTCCAGTTAATTTTTCGATCGAATTATGTCGTCAATCATTATTTATGTATAAAAGGATCATTATAAACATGGTTTGAGTTAAAAGTTCTACTAAGGTGTACACGCCCATTGAATGACTGGCGAGAGATATTTGTGAAACACAGTATTTTCTGGTCACTGGCATCACTACTATCTTGACTGATCTATATCTCATATCTCAGCAACCCAATAATTCCGGTTAAAGTACTCGCCTGAAAACGCCTCTGATCAATGCGCAGGAACACCCAAATTTTCGTTCATGACATTGAGGTCATTGAGTCATGTCTCTTGGTGTTGGGAAACATAAGTAATAAGTATGACAGGTCCTAAATGTGTATGATTCATGTTCTTCAGTTCGAACTTTTTCCTTATGGCATTGGATGACTACATAGTAGTTCATGTCAGTGACAGTGATTAGTAAATGGTGACGTGTGAAACTGCAGGAAGAGAATTGAGAATATTTTGTTTTTTATTTGTTTTCATATCCTACGTTTTCACTGTAAATATTTTGAAGGAAAAAATTGTCTAGTGATTTTCATTCTATTCAAAATAGTGGTACATTCAGTGTTGAATGTGGTACATTTTTTCTGATAGGTTGGTACAAAATGAAAATTTTGTCTGGTAACACTGGAGAGAATTAGTTATTGATGAGAGGGACCAGCAGGGGGATTCTGTTTCACGATCGTCGATTGTCGTACGATACGATGATGAACTCGAAGTCGAATTCATTTCCTATTCTATTTCTCGATCAAATCGCGATCGAATTCGACTTCGGAAATCGTCGGTTTTTTGGCGAAATGGGATGAGATTTTGATCCAATGAAACGCGCACCGAGGCCATAGCCCCAAAGCCATCACAAGTTCGAGATTATGGTGGTTATATGGGTTGCGTGCAAGAACTGTCAGATGACCGACACTGGAAACACAACGTCACTTTTCTTATTTGTTTACAAGTGATCGAAATAATAGTTGAGTTCGGTATTGACATCAGACTGCTCCGATCAATCTGTGTCGTTCGTTTATGACATCTAGATGTAGGGGAAGTAAATCTCAACCGTTCGGCAATTAAAATCAGAGCGATCCGACGACGATCTTCATGATCTGAGAATTTTGACCGAGCAAAGCGATTAATCTGAATTTGTGAGGTTAAGTGTTAAATTGTTCAAATTTTAAGTGCGTTGTATCATTTTATTATTCACTTTTTGTGAATTTCTTAAGAAAATTAATGTTAAACAACAAATCTAACCACATAAATTCGTTGAGTAATATGTGTCTTAACAAGAATTAAGATACTTCAGACATATTTGTCATGGCAGCGCTCTGCACCGTTCGTTTTCAGAAGTGTGGGAAAATTATCGTACAGGTAAATATGGATTTCCAATCGAAGCGGAGATCTCACCTTTGGCTCCCTTATTGGGATCGTAAGTAGGCTGCCGATTCTCGATAGGCTTGTCCCTACCCCCGCCTATGTAAGTTATCCTGTGGAGATGTTCCGTGCCCTTTGTGCTGGAATCGCTAGAGCTTCGGGAGTCTTTGGGATCTTGAGGAAGATCTAATGTCTGAAAAAATATATACAGGAACTCATCAAAATATCACCACAAATTGTCCATATAAAAGTTGCAGAATTCACCCTATTAGGTGGTACAGGCCTTTCCACATGTTCTCCTCTTTGGTCTTTCAAACACCCTGTGTCATGAAACCTTTGCACCAAATTAAGAAACATTCGCGATGTTGGATGATTAATTGAAGGAAATATTTCCGTGTACAAACGAAATGCTGCTGCTGCTCTTTGGCGACCCTCACCACAAATCAAACGCATGTAAACAAGTGCATTTCTTTTTATAATTCAGAATTTCTTTCCACGTCCTGTATGATGAATATCAATTTATCATACATCCAAAAACAAATGCCCAGATGATAGTGGTTATGTCAACAAATTATAATTCTCAGATGTTAGTTCGTTATAGTTTTAGTTATATTATAGGGAGATGAAAATTGTTCATATCATGAAGAATGGCTGAAAGAATAACTGGACTTCAGGTTACTGATGAGGATTTGATATCCGAAATGAGTTTTACTCGAGTGAAGTTATATAACCTGTTTGTGAGAGATATAATTCCCAAATCGTGTGGTGGTCGGTAATCGTGTGGTGGTCGGATAATCGTGTGGTGGTCGGATTAGAATAACCCCACGGTAAGTCCTGCCTGTCGTAGAAGGCGACTAAAAGGACGCCAATAGGTGGAAGATGGTTAACGCCATCGCCCGGTGCGATACCACCACATCAACCATAGGCACTGTGAAATGGGTATACTTACCCGTGTTTCAGTAGCTGGTTGATGTTCCGGCCAACCCAACCCAACCCAATTTCCTTTTCCTTCCACGCAAACCTCCCTTCTTTATACAGAATACGCGATGATGAGTTCTCCTCAAGTAAAATTATCCGGAAGTAAAATACCTCTCCATTCGGATTTCCGGGCGAGAGGTGCTAGAGGGGGTCCACCATCGGCTGAAAAAGTCCTCAAGATAGACCTATGTAACATCCGAGGTCTAAGTAAGAACATCAACGATGTCCATCGACACCTTCAATTTGAAAAGCCAGACATATTGGCTCTCACTGAGACACAGGTCAATTCATCCACCAATACGACCTATCTGCTCTGTCCTGGGTACGAACTCCACACACGTTTCAGATTCAAGGGAGGTCTCTGCCTCTACTCTAAAACGAATCTCTCATGTCAACGAGAAAAAACTTTGGAACCAAATAAGTTTGATGTCATGTGGTTCAAACTCGATAGCCAGAAACAGACCAAATACCTTTGTTGTCTCTACTTATCACCAAATGATCCATCCTATGAAGAGCTCTTCGAATTCTTGTCTCTGAAGCTTGACCAAATTCAACAGAACCATCCAGCAGCAGAAATCATCATCATGGGCGATTTCAATGTACACAACACTGCTTGGCTCGTACACTCTAACAGAACGGATGTAGCTGGGCGACAAGCCGAAGCTTTCGCCATCACTCACGGCTTAGAGCAGCTTATCAAAGAACCCACACGAATTCCCGATGCCAATAACCATTCAGCTAACATACTTGACTTATTCCTCACTAATAATTCAGCACCCTACACCATAGATGTACGAGCCCCACTTGGCAATTCTGACCACACACTCATCTCCACAACCTGCCCATTTTTCATTCCATCAACAGCTCCGGCACCCCCACGTCTTATATGGCATTACAATTCAGGAGATTGGGACGGTCTCCGCATGTTTTTCTCCGAGTTTCCTTGGCATAGAGTATGCTTTGACTCTGAGGACCCTTCACAGTGTGCTGCGGAAATATCCGAGATCATCATGCTCGGAATGGACACATACATACCTCATTTTTCGAAAAGATCATCACCTTCGAAACCCTGGTTCAACAAAAACTGTTCTAGAACTGTTGCCTTGAAACAAACAGCCTACCATCGCTGGCGCGAAAACCCTAACCTCGCGACTAGAGCAGAATACGTTGATGCCAGGAATAACTGCAGCCAAACAATTGATGCCTCGAAAGAAACATACAATGCCAAGATAAGATCGAAACTCATAGATTGCCCCAATGGCTCCCGTTCGTTTTGGTCCCTTGCTAAAGCAGTCGGAAGAAATTTCACTAATAGTTCATTTCCACCACTGTCCAAATCCGACGGCACACTAGCAACAACATCGCAGGAGAAAGCAAATATTTTTGCAGAGATGTTCGCAGCAAACTCTACTTTAGATTCCCAAGGAAAACTGCCGCCAGACATTCCACCCGTTGAGAGTCGAATGCCCGAAATCGTCTTCCGTCAACGCACTATCAGACGAATTTTGCTTGGTCTCAAAACGAATAAGGCTAACGGTCCTGATGGAATTCCACCCATTATCCTCAAAAAATGTGCACCAGAATTAACACCGATCCTCTGCAAGTTGTTTTCCATCTCGTACAGGTCGGGTATTTTTCCATCATGCTGGAAGACAGCTAGAGTCCAACCAATCCCCAAAAAAGGGAACAAGAACCTGCCCAACAACTACAGGCCCATTGCCCTGTTATCAGTAATCTCCAAAGTGATGGAGAAAGCCATCAATATTGAGCTCATCAAATATCTGGAGAGCTCAGGAATCATCAATGATAGACAATACGGCTTTCGCCACCGAAGATCTACTGGAGATCTACTTGCCTACGTCACCCATTTATGGCAATCTTCAATAGAAAAACACGGGGAATCTCTAGCTGTCGCGTTGGACATATCGAAAGCATTCGACCGTGTTTGGCACGAAGGACTCCTCCACAAACTACCATCATACGGCTTACCACCTCAGCTATGCCATCTCTTATCGAGTTTTCTTTCAGGCAGATCGCTTCACGTGGTGGTTGACGGTGTATCGTCTGATACCATTGGCATCAATTCCGGCGTTCCACAAGGATCAATTTTGGCACCAACATTATTCCTGCTTCATATCAATGATCTGTTGGGAGTAACAACTTGCCCCATCCACAGCTTTGCAGATGATAGTACCCTCCATACTGCGTTCTCTTCCAGAATTCCCATTTCTTCCCAGGAAACTAAGAACTCACGGCGCAGGCAGGTCAACGCTGTCAATGAAGATCTTGCAGAAATCACAGCCTGGGGAACAAACAACCTAGTTGAATTCAACGCCACCAAAACTCAAGCCTGCATTTTCTCTAGGAAGGCGGAACTCAGTATGCCCGATATTGTAATGTCTGGCTCCACCATTCCCACCAAGCCCACCATATCTATGCTCGGTATTTCCATTAGCAACACTCTTTCATGGGATAATCATGTCAGATCCATCGCAAAAGCTGCTTCACAAAAACTCGGATTCTTGTTCCGTGCGAAAATCTACTTTACACCTCACTCTCATGATCTACAAAGCGCAGATACGGCCTGTTCTGGAATACTGTTCCCACATATGGGGTTCAGCACCAAAACATACGCTGATGCTCTTAGATTCCATCCAGAGAAGAGCCATTCGCCTGGTGGGTGACGCCACACTCACTCACTCTTTGACATCATTGGAACACCGTAGAAAGGTCGGCGACCTTTCACTTTTCTATCGATACTTCCACGGGAAATGTTCTTCGGAAATCTCTGCTATCATCCCTTCACTAGCAATACCAATCAGACGAACTAGACAAGCCCAGTCAGCACATCCTTTCGTTGTCAACCTCGAAAGATGTCGAACAGCACTTTATCAAGACTCCTTCATCCATAGAACGGCTAGGCTCTGGAATTCATTGCCTGTGGAAGTATTCCCAACATCATATAATCTCCAAAAGTTCAAAAAAAATTCCAATACCTACCTCCTGTCCCTATCCTCCCTAGGAACGCACGATGTTCTTTGAACATTATAGGGATTCCCTTTCGTGCGCTCCAAGCGATAAAAAAAAATATCACTGATACGAATGATTTTTTTGGAAGTTCCAAGCTATACATTTCAATTTTCATTTCAATACTGAATATATTGGTAAGTTATATTTTTATATCATAATACTTCATATTATTTTATCCGATTTGAGAGATAATGTCAATCATAGATTGAATGTGTCAATTCTCAATTTCAGAGGATTATGATTTTTCATGCTCTCTTTTTGGATGTTCAACAGATATAATTCAATGTTCGACGTGGTAAAAAGCCAAGGAAGTAATGGTTTTCTGTTCAATATTCAGAATGATACTATGTACATATCTTTATCTGATGGCATGTCATAATGACAACGTTATGTCACTCAATTTTGATGACATAAGGAAGCTCATTATGGGACTAAGTACCATAATGAATTCATTATGGGACTGAGTACCATAATGAAATTCTATAAGGAAAACATGTAATGGTTTGATCAAAAAAGTTTATTCAAAATGCATAACTATGTACAAAACTATTTATTATAAATGGTAAAAGAACAATTACTACAATTTGTAATATTAATATAATGGCAAAGCACAGCTCACTCACCTACTAATATTTGAAACTACACAATAATTACTCCTTTAAAAATAGTTGTCATTGTGACATGTCGAAAATGCAGTTTTTAATTTTTCGAAAATGTATTGATATAAATGCCATCAGATAAAATTTTGTATGTAATACGAATCATAAACAATTGTAGTAGGTATTCGATCATGATCATACTGTATAATAACTTTCATTTACATGTTTACATTTACTTATTTATATATTGTAATCATAACATTTGGTGTTGGGGAACCAACGATATGATATTCAATTTAGGGAGTCTTTGAAGAACTAGGATATAATAAAGACATATTATGGTACATGGGTGGTGCTTGACTTGAACCTATTAATCCTAACATTACATGGCGATCCTGCCAGTGCCATCTCATAAGTACCAATAGCTGGAGTTAAATTAGTCACCATAACTAATTTTCAACTACAAGTGAATGGAGAACGAGAACAATTGAAAGTTGATTAAAATGGGAGGACGTCAATCCAAAGAAGAGGTCATTATCGCCCAAACAGCAAGTGGTGATGCTGATGCAAAACTGAGTAGCCGAGG